GGGTTGCCAGCTCATGGCAAAAGTGAGATGCAGATCGGGAGCTGTATCTGTCATAAAACTCAGCCTAGAGGGTTCAGGTAGATAAGACTAGGTGTGGAGCAGTTGGAAGAGGTCATGGGGTGGGTGAACTAGTCCAACAGACAAAGTGAAAGGCTGCATGTGGGAGAGTTGGCGGTAATGGTACAGAAAGCTTGAACTTGGGTGATGCTGAAGAAGAAAATAATTTTCTAACTATGAGAGTTTCTTTCTAGACACTATGGATGCGGCCATTAGAGGGAGGGTAGGGAGCAGTCTGGGACCCTTATTTTATTTATTTCACTTGTACTCCATATTTCTGCCCAACTTGGACCCAGAGCAGCTGACATAATTCTCCCTTCTAAGGCTATTTTTTTGCTGAAAAAGTGGTGCCAGAACTCTCAAGAGGGGAATGAAGTTTTCAATCTGTATACTGAAAACTCACACACTTTTAAACATTTTTAAGGAATTCCCCCAGGAAAAAAGCCCTGCTCCCTTCCATTTTATCCTCACAACAACCCTGTGAGGTGGATTAGGCCAAGAGCGTGACTGTCTGGCCCAAGGCTTCAGTGGCTTCAGTGGCAGACTGAAGATTCAAACCGGGGTCTCCCACGTGCTAGTCTGACACTCTGACCACTATAGCACACCGGCAGTCAGGCCTGAATTCACTTTAATGGAGAATCCTACCTCAAAGGCACACGTTGTGGTTTTCTGAAATTTTGATTCTTGCGAGTTGCTTTGGGATAAGGCTTTGTGTTGTGTATACATGTACATCTTTTAAAATTCCATTGTAAGGGTTTTCAAAACGCTCCCTCCCATAAAACTTGTTTGGCAGACAAGGATTGGTTTATATGCCTTGGGCAATAATTTTAGTATCAAGTTGCCTTCAGTCCTCCGGGGGGGGAAAGATCTATCTCAGCATTGGAATAAACGTTAATAACGGTGAATGTGACTTCAATAACTAGACTTAACTGCATACTTTTCTGTTTCTGCAAAATGGTTGGGCTTCTGCAACTTGTCATAGGGTTGCCAACTGTGGGTTGGGAAATTCTAGGAGATTTTTTTTGGGGGGTCAATCCTGGGGAAGGTGTAGGGTTGCCAGGTCCCCGTGGGGGGGGAGAAACCCCTGCTCAATGGGTCCGTTCCCCGCCGGCCCGGATTGGGCCGCAGGGTGGAACCCCACCCCAAAGTGCCAGGAGCACGGAGATGTGCCCGGCGTGATGGCGTCACCCGGAGGTAGGGCTGCCAAGTGGGGGTGGGGAATCCCCCGTTTTGGAGGCCCGATTTCCGCCGCGGTGGAATCGGGCCCCGGGGGGAACTCCGCCCCCCAAAGCTGCGTCACCGGAGGTGACGTACGGCATAGAGCACGTTCCCCCCAACGATCTGGACCACGCCCCCAATGTGAGCGACGTAGCACGTCACTTCCTGTGACGTGCTGCCGGGGCACGGTCTATGGTTTTCCCTTGAATTATAGTGGCCCCACCCCCAATGTGCCCAACGCGATGACGTCACTTCCGGGTGACGTCATCACGCCCGGCACGTCTCCATGCTCCCGGCACAACTCCCGGGGAGGGCCGGGACTCCCCCCCCCCGGCTAAAGCCAAGGTAAGACTTGGCAACCCTAGGAAGGTGGGGTTTTGAGAGATGAGGGAGCTCAGCAGGGTATCGTGCCATAGAGTCCACCCCCCAAAGTAGCCATCTTCTCTGGGGGAACTGATCTCTGCAATCAGGAAACCAGTTGTCATTCCAGATCTCCAGGCACCCCCTGGAGGTTGGCAACTGCATGCAACCAGCACTCCAGATCCCTGATACAGTGGGGAGATGCAAGCTCCTGGCAGGGGGGGTGTGGCACACTGCAGTCTCGTAGCTTCTTTAAGCTCGTTTCTCTGTACTGCTTTGGGTTTTCCCCCTGTGCCTGAGAGTCTCGCCTCCCCCCCCCTGCCCCCGACCAGAGTTCTCTTTAATAGCTCCGACATCCCACATGGAAAGAAGAGGCACTGAAATCAATGGGATTTACTTCCAAGTAACTATTTGTGATCAGGAGTCTAAGGAAACGCAAACAGAGCTTTGATACGAAGAGTCTGCAGCTTGCCCTCTCAGGGGCTTTAGAAGGCTTCTCAGAAAGAAAGAAAGAAAGAAAGAAAGAAAGAAAGAAAGAAAGAAAGAAAGAAAGCAGAAAGCGCCGGCCATCTGGAAGCTGTTTGATGACCTATGGTTGTGAAATGAGCTTGCAGTGCCTCAGTTGGGTTCTTAATCATCAGGCAGCCCAAGCTACAAAATTCATAGCCCCACCCACAAACGGGGGCCTCAGCTGCTATGTGGCTTTGTAATATATTGGTTTCTGAGTGTTCTTGTTGCTAGATTTAGTACTACCAAAATTCCCTGTGGGGGAGAGTGAAAAAGCCCTGGTAGCGCCATTTCTGGATCTGCACTCAGCTATTAGCCACAATACCTTTCTTCCATCAATGTGTCTAAACGCTTTTGTTTTGTTCTTACTCCACTGGTGTGAATGGAACAGGGAAGGGAGACGGATTAGGCTTTCCGGGAACTTGTGCGTCCTTCCGTCAGGCTCAGTGTGGAAGGGAATCTTGTGTTCTGCACTCTGTGCACTGGGACTGATTCGTGTACAGAAGTAGGGGCATCAGAACCAGCAGGTAGCCAGTGCAGAATTTAGATCCAGAGGTGTGTGTGTGTGGGAAATGTTCTGGCCTGTCCAGTTGTACAACTGAGTAACACTGACTAAGGTCTGAGTTGTTAATTTCGGTTCTCCTTCTTTTAATACTCTGTGAGCTATAGTTTTAAGTGTCTCTGAGTAACAATTGTGTCTTTATTCCACTGTTTAAAATGCCGACAGGGAAAATCCCGTAAATTGTCAGTCCATTACCCAGTTCAGCATGGTAAACTTCAGCTGCAATAGAAACCACCCATTCCTTTGCTGTTGTGTTTTCTAGCTAGATTTTGGGATCTGAGGGCAGTCTGTCTGCCTTTCCTGTTCTTTTTGCTGCTGCAGTATATCACATTTCTTCATTTTTCTGCACAACACGCATACCAGACAGCCACACTTACACACTAGGTAGATCTCTGCGCAAGCGGGAGGATTTCTCTCTTTCTAGAATAATGGCTCCCCCCTCTGGGTCAACTGTAGTGCATCAGTCTCCGTCTAGATTCACAACACGCTTTCAGTACAGCGTGTGGGAATAGATTCAGATGTGAATCGCAGACCAAGAAATCATCCCAGAGTTGCATAAGGTTTCACTTCTAAAATTAGGTGTGCCTGCATCCTTGATTCTCTGCCGCTCGATCCCACTGAGGTGGAGACTGACTGTGGTTGCTTTTCGGTGAGAGAAGAGAACGCCACATGGGCCCAGGAGCATTTCATATTCAGAGGCAGCCTGCCTGGTGTGTATCCCAACATCAATGAGGAATGTCTGTCTGCATCACAACAGGTTACGAAAGGTAGAACTGCAGTTGGCGTGTAGTCCTGTGTTCCTTTCAAACAGGTACACAGTTGGAGCTGCTTGGTCTGCCACTGAAAGGGAAACAGGAGGTTCCCCCATCTAGGCACTGATTAAACCCAGACCCGGTTGGCTTCGTCAGGATTCCAGAGTACATGTGTAGTTCTGCCCTGAACTTCTGGAGACTATCTAGCTGGCTGGCTAGGTCATTGCTGGGGCCACTGGAGGGAGAAGACGCTAATTCGATTTCATCATGCCTGGACCCTAACCCAGCTAAGAACCCTCTTTGTCCACAGCAGCGTTTTGTGTCACATGTTTGTTTATTTATTATATTTAGTTTCTGATTTTTTCATGGCAGCCACTCACATCAGTCTCGAGAGGCAAGCCCTTGTCCTCAGATTTACTTGGACAATGTCAGAACAAAGTTCGTGGCAGGATGGGAGCTTTCACGAGTCCTCTGAAGAAGTGAGCAGTGACTTACAAAAGCTCCTAAAGGTAAAGGTTCCCTTGCTTGAAAGCCAGTCGAGTCCGACTCTAGGGTTGCGGTGCTCATCTCCGTTTCCAAGCTGAAGAGCCAGCGCTGTCCGAAGACGTTTCCGTGGTCATGTGGCCGGCATGACTAAACACCAAGGCACACGGAATGCTGTTACCTTCCCACCGAAGCGGTACCTATTTATCTACTTGCAATTTCTTGCTTTCGAACTGCTAGGTTGGCAGGAGCTGGAACTAGAGATGGGAGCTTACTCCATCATGCGGCACCCGGGTCTCGAACTGCTGAACTACTGACCTTCCACAGCCTGCAGTTCAGCGTCCTAACCACTTGATACCTCCGCAGCTCCTACAAAAGCTCCTACCCTGCCACTAACTTTGTTAGTCTTTAAGGTGCTGTTCGCTTGCTCGTTTCTACTGCTACAGACAGAGTAACACGGCTACCCATCTAGAACAAAGTTAGAATTTATAACCCAGCAGGCTGATCTTCCCCGGCTCATGTTCTTCGAAGGAGGGCAACCTCCCAGTAGCGCTTGGGCCTCTAGTTGATGTTCTTTTTGTCGTCAGTCCTGGGGGTGTCTGGGAGTCAACCTTTGGCTGAAAAGTGGGTTTCAAATGGAATTAATCAAGGATTGCTGACCTGATCGTGCAAGGCAACTGACATGATATGTTCACACTATTCTTTGCCTTCAAGGGGGGGGGGGAAGACTTTTTGTGTTTCATCCTGGCTCATAAGAAGGGTTGCTAGCTCTGGGTTGGGAAATACTTGGAGATATTGGGGGGGGTGGTGGGGGGGACCTCAGCAGGGTATAATCCCACAGAGTCCACCCTCCAAAGCAGCCATTTTCTCCAGGGGGAACTGATCTTGGTCTTCCGGAGGTCAATTGCAATAGTGGGAGCTCTCCAGGTGCCACCTGGAGGTTGGCAACCCTACTCATGAGTGGGCCTACCTACCTGACAGTAAGGTAATAGAGGACGCCAATCCGGTTCAACAGGCTCTAAGGATAATGAAGCCGACTAATTTTTTCCCCCCCCTTCCAGGAGAAAGAGAAGAAGTACATGCTACCAGTGGATAACCTGAAACTACGGGATGTCGAGAAGGGATTCATGTCCAGCAAGCACATCTTTGCCCTCTTCAATACGGAACAGAGGTGCCGTCCTTTCTTTATGAAATTCAGTCCGTAGCCCCTTTCATTTCCGGGTCTCCTCAAATCATAATGTGCTGTGACATCCAAATCAGGTATCTGTGGTATGGTTGCCGGACCCCAGGTCCGGGCGGGGGTTCCCCCACTTCTGGGGGCTTCAATCTGCCCCCAGCAGTGTGGCCGGCCGGGGAAGCCCCGCCCCCAGACCCTAGCCCCAAGTGCGACCACCCGCCCGGCCACCCGTTTCTCCCCTCCTGTCCAATTTAAAGGACTTCAGCTGATCAGCGGGGACCACGTGGCCCGCCGACCAGCTGAAGGGCCCTTTAAATCTAGCAGGAGGGAGGGAGAGGGGTGGCCAGGCCAGTGGTTGCGCATGGGGGCGGGGTTTGGGGGCATCCCCACCCATCCCTGGAACGCCCCCCCCCAAATTGGAGCAACAAAGGTACCTGGCAACCCCAATTGGTGGCTAAGCACTAATCTCCAAACACAGGTTGCAAACCCATGTCAAACCATGACTAGGAGGTTAGTCCCAAACCATGACTGGGAGGATAAGCATGTGTGGCCAAAAATTAGGCCTGAACTGGGCCTAAAGTTTTTCAATGACCTGTGTGTGAGGGGTTCTGGAAAAAGAGTTCCTTCTTGATTGCACATCTGACGGGTCCTGTAGACTGGATTTGGGGATCCATCGAACGAGTGGGCTGCAATGTGCAGTTTCTTCCTTTCAGCCGTAAATGTTCTAGACCCGTTGATTAACTGTATTGTGCTCTCATCCTTTTAACTGAGTGGTGTTTACATTTTTTGTTGTCAGCCACCTTAGATTTCTGGTAAGGAAAAGCAGGATATAAATACCAGAAACAAACTTCTGCAGAGCACTTTAAGAAGGGGAAGTTGTTTACACAACCGCAATCTTCAGGAAACAGCCCCAGAGTTGCTTTGGCCTCCAGTTTGTTTACACAGTGTAGGGGCTGTGAATGGAAATGGAGGGCAAAAGCCCTGCTCAACAGCTCTTGACTCACCCCTCAGTCATCTCCTGGGATAAGTGACCACAAAGGCAATAGCAACGTCATTGTCTGAGGAGATGAAGGAAGACAGATCTTTCCTGCAAATGGTGACCAGACAGTGTGATGCAGGGTTTGTGTATTAATCTTATCATTTTCAATTTCAATTTATTATGGGTCTATATGACCGAAGTCTTGACTAACAGAGAATGCAAAAGGGGTAAAAAATCTATCATTTTCTACCCGTAAACACTGAGAGTAAAGCGCAGAATCAATAGCTCTACCCGGGGCTCTTTCTGTAGAAAAAGCCCAGCAGGAACTCATTAGCATAATAGGCCACACCCAACAGCAGAAACTCATTAGCCTATTAGGCCACACCCCTGCCAGCACAGCTCATTAGCACATTAGGCCGCACCTCCATGTTACCAGAAGTGTGCTCATCCAGCCACACCCACCTTTGGTTTGTTATTCTGTTTACCTTGTTTGTTGTCAAAACCCAGGGCCTTTTTTTGTAGCAGGAACTCCTTTGCATGTTAGGCCACACACCCCTAATGTAGCCAATCCTAATCAGTTTCTGCTGTTGGGTGTGGCCTATTATGCGCTGGGTGTGGCCAACTCAGGAGCCAGCCGGAACTCCATTCCTGTGCGTTCCTGCCCAAAAATAGCCCTGGCTCTACCCAATGTTAGGCATTCTTTTCATCTAGAGTCTCTGGGTCTCCTGAACCTCAGACCCTGTGATGGAAAAGGGGGAGACATGGGGTTGCCAACTCCAGTTGGGGAACTTCCTGGAGTTTTGGTGGCGGAGCCTGGAGAGGAGACCTCTATGGGGTAAAACGCCACAGAGTCCACCCTCCAAAGCAGTAATTTTCTCCAGGAGAACTGATCCCCGTAGTCTGGAGATCAGGTGTAATCCCAGGAAATCTCTAGGGTCCACCTGGAGGCTGGGAATCCTAGGGGAGCCCAGGACTAAGCAGGGGTCATTTCGTGGAAAAGGAGGTGCAGGAGCTCATTAGCATAACTCATTAGCATAACCTATTTGCATATGCCACACCCCCTGACATCACCGGAAGCGTGTCAGAAGGCAACACCCACCGCTCAGGCTCCACTTGACTGTTTTGGATTGCTAGCTATGGGGGGGGGGACGGGCAGATCTGTCCTCACAGAGGAGGGAGAGCTTGTACCTGAATAAAACTTGGTCTTAAAGGTGCCACTGGACTGTTTTGGACTGGGGGGCCGGGGGGGGCTCTGCCACTTTCCTGGCTGCTTCTTGCTCTGACTGAGGGCTGCTGGGAGCAGGGGGCGGGGCTTGTTGCATGGGCCCGCCCCCTGGGCTCTTTACTGCCGGAGCTCCATTCCTGTGCGCTCCTGCAGGAAATGACACCTGGGACTGAGGGTTCATGCTTAGCAGTCAGGAAGTGGCGCCTAGAGGGATAAGTGACTAGAAGTTCCTGTGGAGGGCAAAGATGGCCTCTGACACATCAAGGGATGAGTTTGGCCCATGACTAGTTCCTCGGGTGTGACGTACTGGTTAGAATGTCATCCTTGGTTTGGTGAGACCTGGGTTCAAATCCACACTCAACCGTAAACCTTTATGGATGACTCTGAGCCTGTCACTCTCTTTCATTCCAACCTACCTCTCAGTCTGACTTGTTTTGAGGGTGAACATGCTGTTCTGAGCTCCTAGGAGGAAGCTGGAGGGTTTTTGTGTGTTTTTTTTAAAAAACCCATTGTATTGAATTTTCAACTGTTAACAAGAAAAGGACAAGTTCAAAACAACAACATGACATAAACCATCACTACAATCAGGGCTATTTTTGGGCAGGAACGCACAGTAACGGAGTTCCGGCTGGCTCCCAAGTTGGCCACGCCCAGCAGGAACTCATTAGCATAATAGGCCACACCCAACAGCAGAAACTCATTAGGACTGGCTACATTAGGGGTGTGTGGCCTAACATGCAAAGGAGTTCCTGCTACAAAAAAAGGCCCTGGGTTTTGACAACAAACAAGGTAAACAGAATAAGGAGCAAAAAGTGGGTGTGGCTGGATGACCACACTTCTGGTAACATGGGGGTGCGTCCTAATGTGCTACTGAGCTGTGCTGTCGGGGGTGTGGCCTAATATGCTAATGATTTTCTGCTGTTGGGTGTGGCCTATTATGCTAATGAGTTCCTGCTGGGCTTTTTCTACAAAAAGAGCCCTGAGTAGTCTACAATTATACAGAATATACCACAAAAGGCATAATGCAAGAACAACAATATGTAATAGGAGCAAGTACAATAAGGTAACACAGAAGGTAAACAGTTAACAGTAGTAATGCAAAAAGAAGCCACAGCCAATATAGTTTGGTCAAGGTAGGAGCTAGAAATAAGCACACAGACTGTAATGTTTATTCTTAGGGTTTTTCTTTTTTCTTTTTGGAATTTTATAAACTTTATTGAAGATCAAACAATACATTTGTAAATCATAGCGCACATACATAAGTAGAATCATGTTAATTAATCACACAGTTACAACTTTTGTTCCGAGATGAGCACTGGCTATCTTTGAAAACATTCGCCATTCAATTAGGCGTTGTAGCACCATTTAGAAGTAGACCGTGTTTGATGTTCTATATACTATATATATGTATACTATATATATGTATATATGAGTGGGATCAGAGAGTTCCACGATCAGACACAGATTTGTACGAATGAAAGAGAGGAAGATATTTAGCATGAAAGGCTGCCATTAGGAAAGAATCAAAGTACGATACAGAGGGTTTTTCATATATGGACCTTTTTTGGTATTACGATAAGATAGGGCGGGAAACCATTGTTCTGCCACATTGATTCAGGACAGTTACCCAGAGGTGTTGTGCCTTCCCCTGGACATCCTGAGGTTGAAAAACCCCTGCGAGCGCCAGCCTGGGACCTGTCAACCCGAGTGTCAGCAGATTTATGCTTCATCGTTTCCTTCCAGAGAAATAGAGAAGGAAAGTGTGTCTCAACAGAGACAGGCAGATGGCAGTGTATACGCAGCATGGTCATCCATTGTCTCTCTTGTCCCAGGAATGTTTACAAAGACTATCGGCAACTGGAGCTGGCATGTGAGACACAGGAGGAGGTGGATAGTTGGAAGGCCTCCTTCTTGCGCGCAGGAGTTTACCCAGAACGTGTTGGGGTAAGTTGACAATCATGAAAACACAAGAATGAATTAAACGAAAGCATCTGAGAACCATGGCTACGAAGGGCCAAATTAGATACAAAGGGGACGGCAGCGTTCATGCGTTTACCGGAAATGGAGGAATAGCAGGATGTTTTCAAAGGACACGCAAGTGAGGGGGGCTGAAGCCTCCCCCTCCCAGAGACCCCATAGTTCCTCCCCTTACCTCCCTGTGGTCCATCATGCCAGGCACTTTTCTTACAACCCACGTCTGATCCAGAAGCGACTGGACTGGAAGAGAAGCGCCCAAAGCAATATGGGGCAGGAGGCGAAGCAAAAAAAGGGGTTGGGGTTTCAGATCTCCTCACCTGTGCCCTTTTTAATGTTAAATAAGGTTCATATTCCCATCTGCCTTATGGTACAAATTGGGTAGATACTTAAACAACAAAGAGATTAACGCCGAGGATGCTTTCAGATCTTCTCTGGGGATCAAAATGCTTTTGTGGTCATCCGCAAGTCATATATAGCAGCTGCGCCAATGCCTTTACTGACGGCTTCTTTCGGGTATATTGTGGGTATGTAGGGCTACCTTCCGGCTGTGCTCCTGCAGAGTGCAGGGGGTTGGACTAGATGACCTGCAAGATCCCTTCCAACTCTAACGTTCTGTGATTCTATGATTCCCAATGCACTGGAAATGACCGGCACATGGGAATGGCAACAGTTGCTTAGAATTAATGACAGTGGCTCCAAACAGTAAAGATAATAGACACTCCTTTCATGAGCTGATTCTGCTTTCAGGTTTGCCACTAGCATCACTGTTAATGACATTTAGAAGTGCCCTAGAAAGAGGGGTGGGGGGGGCATAACTTGTGTCATGTTTTGCTGTGGTGTAAACGGGGTGAGTTTTTCTGCTGAGTGGGAGCATCTTTACTTGGTGAAGACGTAGAAAAGAAGACCAATTAGAAGGTACCTGAGGACCCGGATCTCACTGAGGAATCATTCTGACTTGATATCTTTTCATGGTCTCTTCCTTCTTTAGTCAGAGACGCCATAAAAATGTGGGGAAGACTCTTAATCTTCAGCCAGAAACTCTCCCTTGCAAAGATATTAAATGAAAAAAGGGAGAAAACGTAGTTTCACTGAGGGACACATTCTTGGCAACAGAAGCCGGGGGTGGAAGGGGGTGGGTGGGTCTCTGGCAGGAGCAGGAAGGAGACCCATTTTGTCAACACAGTCATTGGAAACTTTAGCTTTTCTCATACAACCTGGAACACTGGCCAGGATCCGCAGTTCTAAGACTCTTAAGAGCCATCCTAGGCAGAGTCATACTCTCCTAAGTCCATTGAGGTTCATGGGCTTAAAAGGTAGCAACTGTCTTGTTGACTAAGTGAGATTCTACCCAGATCCATTGAAAGGAACATTTGAGCTCTGAGCAACAGGTCGCCAATGGGGGCCTGCTCCCGACTCCATCCGCTGGCGCATCCATCTCACCTTTGGCTCAGCTCCTTCCCTGTCCCAGTCTCCCCCTCGGCTTGACCCTGCCCAGTATTGCTGCCCCTTAGCCTAGCCAACAAAGCTAGATAGAAAGGCAATGACTTTTCCCCTTGCCCATTTCTTCCAGTCTTGTTGCCATCCCTGGAGACCCCCTTACAGGAAGGGTCGTGGAGGATCAGAAGGCAGGGGGAGAATTAGGAGCCACGGCCCCCCTTTCTCCTACTTTATTTGAAGGTTTAAAGCAGGGGTGTCAAACATGCAGGCCAGGGGCCGGATCAGGCCCCTGGAAGGCTTCTATCAGGCCCACAATTGAACTGGCTGTCTTCTGCTTCTTCCAGTTCTTCTGCTGCTGCGTCGTCGTAGGTTTGCAGCTTACAGATACACACCCGAACAGCATACTCAAGAGTGCAACAGCACAGACATTTTGATGCAATAATTCAGAGCAAGGGGTGTCAGTTATCAGACACTGTTAAATAAACAAAATATTGCAAAGGGCTAATGTTTTAAGCATGTTTTTATTTTAAGTTTAAAAAAACACCTTTGTGTTTGTGTCCTTTATAAAGTTTACATCTCCGCTACCTGGCATTACATTTTATGACACACATGGCCCGGCCTGACAAGGTTTCATTTATGTCAGATCCGGCCCTCGTAACAAATGAGTTCGACACCCCTGATTTAAAGGGTAACGTCTAGCAGCCGGTATAAAAGATAGCAACCCTATGAACCTCCCCCCTTTTTTGCACTGCTCACAACCCCTATTATTTTATCTGCCTGCTTCTCCCCCCTTTGCCTTCCTTCTTGTGTATACCCCCCCCGTTTCTCTTCCCTTACAGACTCCATTTGTTTAATGTGCAAGCCCCATCTAATCTACTATTGGCTTCTCCTAATTTGGCGCCATACTGTGTAGATCAGTTACGGCAGTTGAAGCCCATAGAATAGTCCTGACTCCGTTTGTCTGGGACCATCTGCAAACTGTATGCGCGCACGCCTGTCCCGCTCCCTTCTGATCAAACTTTGCCCCATTTCAATCAACATGGTCTTCTACGCATGTGTTGTTTGACCTGGGTTGGATGCTCTTATGAAGCGGGTCTTTTTTCCTTCTTCCCCAAAGCATCGTTGTCACTTTTGTGTGCCGCCCAGATTTCCTTCGTCTTTTCTGTGATCTTTCCCAGACCTACTTTGCTGTGATGTTTTGGGAAAGATTGCTCGTAAGGCTGGGCCGTGTGGGCGGGAGACTCTGGGCTTTCCCTGTCCTGCCAACAGGAGCACCATTCTCCCTTCCCCAACCCTTATCGTTGCTCCCCATCCAGAGAGGTGATGACTTTTTTTAAAAAATTGGTAATTGACAGGGCTTTTCTTCTGGGGGAAACGCACTGGAACGGAGTTCTGGAACTTCTTCGACAAATTTCTTTTTGAAATGAGTTTTCAGTATACAGATAGAAAACGTCATTTCCCGCTTGCAAGTTCCGGCACCTCTTTTTAAAAAACAAAACAAAAAGCCCCGATAATTGACATTACAATATACTGCTTATAATAGTGTATCAATTACCATTAAAAAAAAAACAACTTTGAGAAAAGCCATGACAGGGAGGGGGGGGGAGGAAAAGGCTACCAGAGGGAAGTTGGGGGGGGGCTGACACAGTGGAAGCCTCGTTGCTATGGCCCTGCTTCAGCCGTGGCAGCCACGCCAGGGTTTCCACAGGAAAGCGTTACCACAAATCTTCGTTTCCTCCTCTGATGTGCAATATATTTTCTGGGTGGGTCACAGGTTCTCATCCAAACTTTTTGCGCTAGATCCCATGTCAGGAGTGGGGAAAAAAACCCTCAGGCTACCGGTAAGTAACTTTCATTAGGAGTCTGCTTTATTCGTCAGACGTCCCCTTTCAATTCCATTCATTTGACCACCTGCCCAGTCCGCTTTAATATGTGTTTTCGTTCAGAGTTTGCCATAGTTTCGTAGTGATAATAAGGGAATTAGCCACCTTAGATGATGTAAAGTAAAAATTGGGGATTTTTTTTTTAATTTGTCACATCTTTTTCTTGTTCTTGTTTTTCCCTTGTTTTTGCTTTTTGTGCTCAAACGGGCCTGCCAGGACAAGGACAAAGTAAGTGACAGCCCCCTTTGCCTGTTCTACCCTGCCTAGGGGGAAACCTCATCATCTGTCCCTGAACTGCTAGTTTTTCAAAAACTTTCTCTTTTCACTTTCTCCGTTTTGTCTCTGTGTCCCAAGAGACACCTTCTTCCTTCTCCCTTTCTCTTTGCACTTCCTGCCACATCATCTGTTTATTTATTTCCATTCTTGCCTCGGGCTTTCCTTTTACTCATCTGAGTCTCCACCCCCACCTTCGGAATTCGATTGCTCCATTTCAGAGCAGTGTCCAAAAGAGCCTTTTCCCCCATCTTTATTTTTTCTATTTCTTTTGCCTTTTACTTCTTCATATTTTTTTTAGTGCCGCGTTAGTGCTGCATTCTGATTTCAAGTTCCTCTGATCTTCTGTTGCCAAGATCTTTGGGATTCATACATAAGCTCTTGGCAACGAAAAGCACTCGAAGGATCATGAAATAAAATCCCCTTCCTCTTTGAGAGACGGTTGTTGTCCATATCTCAGAAAATCTTCCAACACTTTCCTCCCCTGTGTTCCAACAAGACGACACGAATGAAGAAACTCGTGTGTGTGTGTGTGTGTGTGTGTGTGTTATTTGTAAATGCTACTTTGAAATGGAATTAGTAAAATCCTTTGTTTAGAGAGCTGCTATTCTAAAGAAGGGAGCGCTACTCTTGTATGCTTTCAGAGCTGGGCGGCTGCCAAGCAGATAGTGGTGTGCCCTGTAGTTAATGAGAGCTGTTTATATTATAGTAATGTGTTGTTGGCTTGTAAATAATGGTTTGATCCCCCTTCCCCCCCCAAAAAAAAAAGCTCAGAGGAGCCTACAAGGGTTCATTGCCACGGAAGCATAGAGCAGTGGAGACGAGGGCTTTCCAGACGATAGGAGAAGACCAACCCCCCCCCCCTTTATTTAATACTCCTTGTTAGCCTTCCAGTCCAGCATCAGCCACTAAGGGTGGCTAAGTATGTTTAACCGATGCATTATAAGCAGAAGGTGCAGACTTCCCCCTACTGGGGGATAGTCTCAACTGCTGAATATATGCCTTTTGCACAGGGATTTCTGGTAGGAAAAAAACATATCACATAGAAGCCCCAACCTGGGTAGCACAGGCTAGCCCAATCTCGTCAGATCTCAGAAGCTAAGCAGGGCTGGCCCTGGTCTGTATTTGGATGGGAGGCCACCATGGAGTACCAGGACTGCTATGCAGAGGGAGGCCATGCCAAACCACTGCTGAACATCTGTCACCTTGGAAACTCCAGGGGGTTCGGCATAAGTCGGCCATGACTTGGCAGCAAAAAACAATTAGAATGGAGTTGCTAAGGGATAGCCAAAGTCACATTCCCTGCTTTACAGAACCTATAAGAAAGTACAGTTGCACAAATGAAAAATGAATAAAAAGTCTATTTAGAAAACATATACACTTGCATAGAAGAAATATATACACCAGGATACAGGTAAATCTGCTTACTCACAAGAAACACGAGTGGGAAAAATTCAAAAGTACTAAATGACATCATTGGAAGTCAGACACAAATCAAAAAGCTAGAAGCCAGGTGAATAACATGCATTATGTCTGCTAGCAGGACATTTCGAGCTAGAGAGAAACTGGTGTCTTCAGCTCTTCATTTTATTGGTAGCTTCATGTGAGAAAGAAAGAAGCATATTCCATATCTGAAGAAAACAATAACATTTATTTATCGTAACAAAATCTGAGTCCAGTGGCGCCTTTAAGACCAACAAAGCACACTTCCTCAGTCGCATTGAAACAAAAATATTTCCAAGCCTCACATACAGGAAGATTGGGGGTGGGGTGGCAAAAGCGTCAGGAAGGACCAGTCAGACTTAGGATGCACAAGTGAAGCTGAGATCGTATCAAGGCAGCAAGATCAATAGATGGCAGCAGATTAGCGCACAAATACAAGGGCTAACAAGCAGATATGAGAACACGGCTACCCACCTGAATTTATTTATCTGGAGAAGGTAACTCAAAACCTCCTGCTGGGTTCCTTGTTAGTAGTCGTGGCATGGATGCTGGCCAGTAGGGCTCTGTGATGCTCAAGCAACCACATGGAACCCACTGTTGCATCTCACACCCACCTAGTATTCCAGTAGCAATCATAGTGCAGTTTGAGTGCCGGGAAAAATACAGCTTCTCTTCAATGCAAGTGCTTCTAGCTGGGCATTTGAGGGAGGCTGTTGAGATCCGACGAGAGCAAATGATTAAACCTTGTATTTATGGTCCAAAAGGGACACTGTCTGGAATCTTTGCTGAAGTCCTATTATTGACAGATTAGCAGTTCAAGAAGGAAGGGGAGAGATGCATCAAGGTCCGCCCCCGAAGAAGCATCATTGCAGACCTCAGATTGCTCCAGAGCATCTTAGCTTTTCTCTGGCTTCTTTTTCCTTTTCCAGCAGCTGACAGGAGTTAAACTCAGTCTGCAGGCCTCAAAGTGCAACCAACTCAATGTGGAACAATTTTATCATTGTTGTTTTGTTTGCATTGGAAGCTGCCTGGAGCTCCACAAGGAGAAAGGCAAGCTAGCAGGTGCTTCAAATGAACTCCCATTTTATTTTACTAACGAGATGGGCTGGAGGACTCCTTTCTCCATGATCATTCACAGCCCAATTTACTGCTTGTATAACCAGATGGACCCCAGTGAGTAGGAGCCACACTCCCCTCCAGATAAAGTAGTCCCTTGTCTCTATGAAAGCCAGATATAAATAGCCTGTTTCAGGGCCCTTTTTGTAGAAAAAGCCCAGCAGGAACTCATTAGCATAATAGGCCACACCCAACACCAGAAACTCATTAGCATATTAGGCCACACCCCGTTTTGTTTGCATTGGAAGCTGCCTGGAGTTCCACAAGGAGAAAGGCAGCTAGCAGGTGCTTCAAATGAACTCCCGTTTTATTTTACTAACGAGATGGGCTGGAGCACTCCTTTCTCCATGATCATTCACAGCCCGATTTACTGCTTGTATAACCAGATGGACCCCAGTGAGTAGGAGCCACACTCCCCTCCAGATAAAGTAGTCCCTTGTCTCTATGAAAGCCAGATATAAATAGCCTGTTTCAGGGCCCTTTTTGTAGAAAAAGCCCAGCAGGAACTCATTAGCATAACAGGCCACACCCAACACTGGAACTCATTAGCATATTAGGCCACACCACTGCCAGCACAGCTCATTAGCACATTAGGACGCACCCCCACGTTGCCAGAAGTGTGGTCATCCAGCCACACCCACCTTTTGCTTCTTATTCTGTTTACCTTGTTTGTTGTCAAAACCCAGGGCTTTTCAGGGACTCATTTGCATGTTAGGCCACACGCCCCTAATGAAGCCAATCCTAATGAGTTTCTGCTGTTGGGTGTGGCCTATTATGCTAATGAGTTCCTGCTGGGCGTGGCCAACTTAGCCTGGCCTGTTTTTTATTACAATTCCTTGTTCAGCCTCAATTCCCCACCATTGCTTTGAGAAATTCTGTATGGCCAGAGCCGGATTTGCCCCATGTAACTTTCATAACACCTCACTGGCATAATTTAGGGAGGGGGTGTCCAAGAGTTGGATTGCTATTTGTACTAGTAATTCCTTTAACCAGAGCGTTCCTTACGGTGTGGTTAACTAAGGGCCTTCCTTGCTGACAATTAAGGATATATATAACCTTGCAATCTGCCTAGGCTGACCGTAAGGTAAAGGCTTCCCTTGCTCGAAAGCCAGTCGAATCCGACTCTAGGAGACGGTGTTCATCTCTGTTTCCAAGCCAAAGAGCCAGCGCTGTCCGCAGACATTTATGTGGTCATGTGGCCGGCATGACTAAATGCTGAGGCGCATGGAACCTTCCCACTGAAGTGGTACCTATTTATCTACTTGCAATTTCTTGCTTTCAGACTGCTAGGTTGGCAGGAGCTGGGACCAAGGACGGGAGCTCAGTCCGTCATGCGGCACACTCGGGTCTCGAACTGCTGAGCTGCTGACCTTCTGGTCTGCAGCACAGCATCTTAACCTCTGACCCACTGTAATGCTGCAGAATTAACTCTGCTGCACTTGGAATAAAGCTACAGAGGGATCCCTAGTTCCGGAGGAGGTACAGACACTGGCATCATACTTTAATGTAGGAAGCAAAACAGGCGAGTGAGAGGAGCCAGAAACAAACCAGAAAGAACAGCCTATTGTGACTGTCTCAGTATTATGATTGCTCCAGCTCTTTCCCCCAGCCTTGCCCTTAATCTGAAAGAGTGGGGCAGTCTCATTAGCCCATCTGCTTCACTATCTTTTTTTCCTGGGCGGGCTGTAATTCAGAAGAATGAAAGGGGAGAAGGATGGCCTGGATGTACTGAGAAACGACTGGAGGGGGGAGGTTCAGCTCTGAAAATAAGTTCCTTTTCTCTCTCTCTGATCTTGCTGCATAGGCTTCCTCTCTGTGTGTGTGTCTCTCTCTGTCTCTCTTTCTGGAATCAAGGGGGGAAGGGGTCTTATTAAAGCCGCAATCTGTGTCTCCAACATCTTTATGTAGTCCAGCGAGTCAGAAGAGAATGGATCGGATAGCTTGATGCATTCCATGGACCCTCAGCTGGAGAGGCAGGTGGAAACCATCCGGAACCTCGTGGACTCCTACATGGCCATCGTCAACAAGACCATTCGTGACCTCATGCCTAAGACCATAATGCACCTTATGATAAACAATGTAAGCGTCTCATTGAACAGTCATCTAGGTGCACTGCACAGTATAGTTCGCATAGTCTGGGACAGTCGCAGTGTGGTTTATAATATAGTCCAGTGTCCAGTGGGGAGCATCTAATAAAATGGCTGGCAAATATGGTGGTGTGGGTAGAAGTAAATTCCATTGAATTTAGAGAGACCTTCTCTGTTCGTTTTTAAATTATTTTAAAGTTTAAGGTAAAGAGTCAGGGAAGGGACTTTTAATATATCCGCAAAACTGGCAGAAGGAGATGAAGAAGAAGAAGATGAAGAAGAGATCAGATTTATACCCCGCCCTTCACTACCCGGAGGAGTCTCAAAGCAGCTTACAATGCCCTTCCCTTCCCCTCCCCTCCCCACAGCAGACACCCTGTGAGGTAGGTGGGGCTGAGAGAGCTCTTTCGAGGACGGCTCTTGAGAGAATAGCTCTGAGAGAACTTGTGACTGACTCAAGGTCACACCAGCAGCTGCAAGTGGAGGAGTGGGGGAATCAAACCCAGTTCTCCCAGATCAGAGTCCACGCTCTTAACCACTACACCAAACGGGCTCTCAACCCTACGCTAGGGAGAAGCTGGCTTGGAGGTTTAATAGCATATCAGATCTACCCTAACCTTCCCGACCTCTCTCTTTCCACTCAGAACTGTTGGCGAACCTGTACTCTTGTGGAGACCAAAACACCCTGATGGAAGAATCACCCGAACAGGCCCAGCGGCGCGACGAGATGCTGCGCATGTACCACGCCTTGAGGGAGGCGCTCAACATCATCGGAGACATCAACACCACCACCATCAGCACTCCCTTGCCCCCGCCGGTGGACGACTCCTGGCTGCAGGTGCAGAACATACCGTCCGGACGCAGGTACCAGAGGCTCAGGGGGAGGCCCCCGCAGACCTTCCTGACGCCTCTTTTAGCGACACGACGGGGCCTCCTGCTGGAACAGGAAGGAAGGGCTGTGGGGCGTTCCGGTTTTGCATGGTGGCAGGGGACTTCTCTGAAGTCTTCTAAGCGATGGCAGGAAACGTGAAAAATGCCTTGCTGTTCCAAAGGACATCGTGGTCCATACAAAACCTGGCCAAGTTTTTGGGTTGTTTTTTTTTGTCAGAGAGTCAAAGGCAGTTTGACAAAGAGATCAGTGCCCACGGTGCGTACCTTGCCCCACCAATGAGCTAGGGTTTTTTACCCTCTCCACCACAAAAAGTTGAAAACCCTGTTTGTCTATTAGATATGGGAGGTCAAGATAAAGATGTGTTTCCACCCTAGTCAGCAGTGTCTCTTTCAGACTGCTTTCATTCTCTCCAGACAATTGCATCTCTAGCCTGAAAAAAGTTTGCTGCGGGATTTGGAAAGCACCCAGAGCCCCTTGCCCCTGCAGTGAAGTTCCTTTCTCTCTCTCTCCTAGGTCTCCCACGTCCAGCCCTACACCGACGAGGAGAGCTCCGGCAGTCCCGCCGTCCAGGCCTGGATCTCGAGGCCCGGCTCCTGGACCTCCGCCTGTTGGTGGTCCCACTCTGGGTGGTGCTCCTCCTGTGCCCTCTAGGCCAGGGGCCTCCCCGGATCCTTTTGGGCCTCCCCCTCAGGTTCCATCTCGACCCAACCGTGCACCTCCTGGTGTCCCCAGGTAAGTGAGGTCACGCAGCAAGTAGAAGCAGGCTCTGGGGATCAGCTGTCCTAAACGCCTGTCCTCTTGACAGCAGAGGGCGGTTGAGACAGGTAACTGAGGTCTCCTGCTGCCCCTTCAACTTCTGCTCTTACGCTAGTCTCTTACGCGCTGCAGTTTCCCCCCGGAGGAGTATTTTGATTTGAAACAAGACCCTTTATCCTGGGCAAAGCTGGGGCAGGAAACTGGTTTGGGAGGTCCTCGTAAGTGGCAGTCCTAACTGTAAGCGGTGATATTAGATGGTATCAGTCGGAAAGCTCAGGAGCAAGAGGCCTCAGAGACGAGTGCGCCATGGTAAGGTGTGGATGTATTATTAAAAACGAAAACAATAATAATAATATTTCGATTTATTAATCGCTCAATCCTTGCAGAGCTGCTGGCTCTGAGCGATTTACAGTTACTCATGTATTCACAAGGGACTAACAATGATAGGGGTAAGGGAGGACAACATATATCTTTAAATCGCACACATTTCGCAGCCGACGGGGAGTTTATCCAGCTGTAAGCTTCAGACGTGTTCCAACGGCATTCTCCCTCAGCGTGGCTTGATGTCGTCAGCTTTCTCAGTTGCAGCGCAACACTGCCACCGCCTGGCCGGAATGGCCCATTACAGGCCATGATGCTGAATAGATTGCCCGAATCTACTGATTTTAAGCTCAACAAGTCCGGGTTTTGGGGAGAGGAGATTGGTCCTGGATTTTTATTCCTTTATTTTAATTCGATTTTTGATCCCACCCTCCCCCCTGCCAGCAGGGCCCAGGGCAGCTGAGGAGAGGAATCTATTTGAGACGTGCCGGTCTTGAGAACCTGCTGCGGGCAGGCTTTCAGGGCAGACGCCTGGCCAATTTTACCCCCTGCCCTGCCAAGAGAGATGGTTCAAGAGGGTTCAGGGAAGAAGCCAGCTGGCGCTGGCATCCTGGTCCTAATTCCTGTCCAAGTTCTTGAACTGAATCTAAAACAAGAGCTGGAAAGGTGGATATCCTTATCAGGATTTCCCATCAGAAAGAATAAGATCACTGAGCTCAGTAACCTTTATTAAAACACTAAATCGCGCTGTCCCTTTCTTGACCAGCAAAACCAACGAATCCCTCATATAGAAAGCTGGCAGTCACCCTGTCCCTGAGCAGCTCTATCCTCCTTTTCTTTTGTTTTGATTTTTTTTTTTTTTTGCCGTCTGGTGTCCTGGCGACCCCTAGTAGAGTTTTCAAGGTCAGTGATGTTTAGAGGCGGTTTGCCATTGCCTGTCTCTGTGTCATGATCCTTGTGTTCCCTGCTGGTCTCCCTGCTTGACTTTTGAGATCTGATGAGATCGGGTCAGCCTGGGCTATCCAGGTCAGGGTAGATCTATCTGACACATTTAAATTATAGAATCATAGCGTTGGAAGGGACCTCCAGGGTCATCTAGTCCAACCCCCTGCACAACGCAGGAAATTCACAAATACCTCCCCCTCCACACCTGCAGTGACCGCTGCTCCACACCCAGAAGATGACAAAAAACCTCCAGGATCCCTGACCAAACTGGCCTGGAGAAAATTGCTTCCTGACCCCAAAGTGACGATCAGCATTTCCCTGGGCGCATAAGAAAGGGCCACAAGAACTAAGCACTGAGGCAACCCTTCCTGCCCTCCCTCTCATGATCTGCCCAAGTTCACAGAATCAGCATTGCTGTCAGATGGCCATCTAGCCTCTGCTTAAAAACCTCCAAAGAAGGAGACCCCACCACCTCCCGAGGAAGCCTGTTTTACCGAGGAACCGCT